ACTTTAAAAGTGTCTTTTCCTGATTTTTTGATAGGAGCTGCTGCTGTTGGCGTGCCTCTGTTCGTGTTAGTGTACCACGGATGCGTCTCCGCACAGTATCAGGCCTTAGGTTCAAAGCAATGGCTGCAGCTTGATCAGATTTGTATTTTCTAGTTTTAATTCCTAGAACTGCTTCAGACAGTCGCAAATCAAGCTCTTGAGCCTGTTTATTCCTCCGTCTGACCATTGTAGTAGTATGATAATTGTTGGGTGGTTGGATTTTGGTGAGGTGGCCGGGTCCTGTATTTTGGTGGGGTAGCCAGAATCGCCGCTTACGCCATGTCGCTGCTTACGCCACGACTTACGTTACCTAAGTTACCACTTGGGCAAGATTGGGTGCCACGGTTCATTCAGAGGCATCCTAACTTATGCGTTAAGCTAGGAAGAAGGGTTGAGGCACAAAGGATGAATGGGGCCACAAAGCAGGTGTTGAAGGGGTGGTTTGACGCATACAAGAGCCTCACAACAGAGCAAAAAATCGAAAATCACAACACCTACAACATGGATGAGACTGGGTTTTCAATTGGAACAATGCAATCTACACGAATTATAGTCGATTCTACACTTAGGACACGTTTTCAGGCACATCCAGGAAGGCAGGAATGGGTCTCTGCTGTTGAGTGCATCTGCATGGATGGAACAACCACCGACCCCCTCATTATCTTCAAGGGACAGAATATACTACAGAGCTGGATTCCAAAGGACGTTATAAGCAAATGGAACTTCTCTGCAAATACAAAAGGGTGGACAAGCAATCTTCATGGATTAGAGTGGCTAAAACGCGTTTTTGAGCCCTCTACAAGAGCAAAAGCAACACTTCCAAATGGACAACTACAACAGAGGCTCCTTATTTGCGACGGCCATGACAGCCATATAAGTGGGAGCTTCATATCACACTGCATACAGAATCGCATATCGCTACTTATACTACCTCCACATACCTCTCATGTGTTACAGCCACTTGATGTTGCAATTTTTGGACCTTTGAAAAAACACCTCACAACAGCCCTCTCACACCTTAATGAGGCGCAGCTCCTACGCATAACGTAGGTCGTGGTCAGACCGGCTACATGGCCAGACCGGCTATTAGTATCATCACATACAAATTTGTATGTGGAGGTACTTATGCTTGCGAAAATTAGAACCTTAATAACTCCTTTAATAAAAAGGCTAGAGCATATTCCTTGTATATATAGGAACTTTAAATAGTCATCTACTATATCTAAAGACGCTAATAACACTAGTGTCTTTTTACATAAGTTACTAAAGGTTTTAACTTTTGCCATATAAATTTTTAGTATGGCAAATCTAAAATTGTTAATAACTACCTAATAAGGCTAGCTTACATGCTAGCGTTTTTAATTATAACATATAAGTATATAAATTATCTAAGTTTAATAACATTAAGCTCTAGCAAGTCAATTAAAGTTATTATTACAAGTTTGAATTATATATCACGTGATGTGAATTTGCTTGTGAATTTACCTGTAAAATTGAAATAGCCGGTCTGGCCATGTAGCCGGTCTGACCACGACCTACGTTACAACAAAGAGAGACGGATAACTTGCGCAACATAATTCAGAAAAGAAGGGAGCAAAAGAAGGGTAAAAGAGCTGTTTTGAAGGGTCAATTCCACATCTCTACAGAAGAACTCCGGTCGCAAGTCGCAGAAGCAGAAGCAGCAACAGCAACAGCTTCACAGAGGCCTAGAACAACACCACGACTTATAGAGGAAGCTACAATTGAGGAAATAGACAGAGAGGGTGAAGAAGAGCTATATGACAGCGATTTAGATGAATTAGCCTAGTAGTAATTGAACAATTTCAATTTTTTAAAGGTGGTAGTGGTTTGATGGGGTGGTTCCGACCCCACTACCCCCGTTACGCCATTACCCCCGTTACACCATGACCTACGTTAGTTAGGCTTAGCTGTTCAATATTTAGGTTCTATATATAGGCCTTTACCTAATATGAAAAGGCTAGTATTGCTAGTGTCATTATTATGGTTCTATTAATAGGAGAAGATTGGTCATACAAATATTTGTATGAGGAAAACTTGACCCTTAAATTGGCATTGCAAAAAGACACTAGTAATACAAGTGTTTTTATATTAGGTAAAGGCCTATATATAGAACCTAAATAAGCCTAACTTAACAATTTTTATCCATAGAGCTATTTAAGTTTTTAGTTTCACAAGTGTAAGTACCTTTGCATACAAATTTATATGTAAGGGTACTTATCGCTGCTTACGCCAGATCGCCGCTTACGCCACCCACGACTTTATGTTATTCATATCGAATTGTTAAGGGGCATCTGCCAAGCCAAGCTGACCATTTCGTCAGGGGCTTCATTCCGTCTCCTCAAATAGGACTAGCACGGTGCCAGCCTTGCAAATGTCCTGTTCGTTTTCATGATTAGTCTCGTGTAATAATTATTAGTAGAAAGGTGTGCATACCCCTGGCTTATGAACCAGTTTGGCAACTGTTCCACGTTGAGGTGATCTGATTATTGTCTCCATCTTCATACTCTCAATCCTAATTAAATATCTGTTAGTAAATGTTCAACGGGAATAGAAAAAGGACAAACATACACAACCAGGGCGGCATCCTTTTCTACTATGTCGCCTTCATTTACTTCGTTCTTTAGGATTTTGCATGGCATTGGTGCAAGCACGCTGTTGGCAACATCTTTGATCCCCAATGCCTTCTCATACCATAAAGGTTGTGCAAGTTTTAACTTAATCATCTTTCCCTTCTGGAACATTGTTATATTATCGCCGTCTCTGACCACCGTTGACTTAACGCGTGTATGTGGGAAGAAGGAGGTGACAGACGACTCGACCGATTCGCAAGCGACATTGCTGTATGATTCCTGGATGCCAGGGCCATCAACAGACACCTCGAATACATTTCTAGAGGACTGCTTGACTGTAACAGTCACATCGATAGGTTCCGAGCTAGATAGCAAGCTAAATCGGAACTGCCTCTCGCCTAGGATAGTAGTAAGATCAGCGTCATTTCCGTGAGGCCCAGCTTTGGTGAGGCTCTTCGATCCCGCATCTTTCGTGAAAAGAGCCAAGGCAGCTTGCGCGAAGGAGGTGTTCTCAACAGCCTCTTTCTCAAACAGCTCATCATGATTCTTCTTGATATATCCCGTTTCGACATCGCCTGCAGCAAAACCTGGGCTTAGGCATATCTTTTTCAAGAACTCAATGTTCGTGCTCAGTCCAACCACCTCATACTCTTGCAATGCGCTGTACATTCTCTGTATGGCTATTTCACGGGTTGCCCCACTGACAATTAGTTTCGCTATCATTCCATCATAGTTCGACGATATCGTATCCCCCTCCACAAAGCCGGCATCAATGCGCACATTGTCTGTGATCTGAGGTGTACGAAGATGGGTCAATTTGCCAGAATCGGGCATGAAGTCCTGGTCGGGGCTTTCGGCGTAGATGCGAGCTTCAATGGCCCAGCCTCGTTCTGAAATTCGCTTTGCGATAGCTTCTTGAGTAAGGGGCAGTGGCTCGCCAGCGGCTACTTTGAATTGCCAAGAGACCAAGTCTTCACCAGTAACTACCTCAGTCACCGGATGCTCAACCTGAAGCCTGGTGTTCATTTCCATGAAGAAGAACTGGTTGCTGTCATTGTCAAATATAACTACACATTGAAGTTAGCATATAGTACCATGAATGATGAGAGACGTGGATCGTACACTCAACTGTTCCCGCGCCCTCGTAGCCAACAGCCAAAGCCGCCGCTCGCGCCTTCTCCCACAGGTCCTGTCTGATTTCCTCGGGTAAGTTTGGTGCGGGTGCTTCTTCGAGAATCTTCTGATGTCTCCGCTGCAAGCTGCAGTCTCTTTCACCCAGTGCCACTGCGTTCCCATGTTTATCCGCAAACACTTGGACCTCTATGTGCCGAGGAGTCGTAATATATTTTTCAACTAGCATCTCGTCGTCACCAAATGAGTTCCGGCCTTCACTCTTGGCACTCTCCAATTTGTCCAAAAACTCTGCTTCGTTCATTGCGATCCTCATCCCCTTTCCGCCACCTCCTCTGACTGCCTTTACCAGAACTGGAAATCCGATCTTTCTCGACTCCTCCAACAGGTTCTCAGGGTCTTGGTTCGCTCCGTGATAGCCTGGTATACACGGTACACCTGCCTTTATCATGATGTCCTTACTGCGGCTCTTGTTCCCCATAGCCTCGATCGCTTTCCACGGTGGTCCAATGAAGACCAGACCTTCCTCGACGCATCTCTTGGCAAACGCAGAGTTCTCACTCAGGAATCCATAACCCGGATGCAACGCCTGGCAGCCCTGCTCCTTGGCGACGGCGATAATGCGCTCGCCGTCCAGGTATGCACTTGCCTGCCCCAAGTTAACAGAGAAGGGGCTGCTGAGGGCATGTTGGGAATGCGCATCAGGATCGGTGTAGAGCGTAGTGCAGCGAATACCAGACTCCGCAGCCGTTCGACCTACACGAAGAGCTATCTCTCCGCGGTTGGCGATTAAAACTGAGGTGATTTGCTTGGTGCTTAGATGAGAACGTTGGCGGGGAACTTTGATTCTCGCAAGAACTCGCGGAGAGTTTGTGGACCTCATTGAGATGTTGGGCACGCTGTGCACTGCTATGAAATATGATAATACGTACAAAGTTGCAAGAGTGCAATGGCAAAAACTTCACAAAGCTGCTGGAGCGTGCGATTTGGTTTATATCTCGCGGTCGTTGACGCTTTCGGCTCCCACGATGACCGTTCGTAGCCGATGGAAGGCGTGGAGCTCGGTTCGAAAGGCGGATGTGGTGTGGGACAAAGTAATGTGGGGTAGTCGAGCAATTGCAGGCACACAAGTATAAAGTACATAAAAATTGCGTTACTGTATCGCTTATTTCAAGGTATCTTATACATAAATTACAGTTGCACACTTCACATATATCCTCGAGTATAACGGCGGTGGCACAGCATATATATATATATATTGAAGGATCAACCAACGCAGGCAGACCTTCTCTACCTTTCTTGATATTAATGCTGTAGATATTGCTATGCTTTCAGTCTCAGCTATATTCTCAACTTTGACCCGAGTTCGCCTGCATGGCTTTGAACCGCTCCTCCGCAGCCCTCGCCCTCCGCTCCCTATCCAGTTTCATTCTCATCTCAGGCGTTAAACCCCTACTTTCCTCTTCCCGCCTCTCCTGCGCCGTTTTCCTTGCTGCCTCCATTGCCAAAGCTCGTCCCATGCTTGCAGACTTCCCTAGCGGCCCCGACTCAGCAACTTTCGGACCCTCGTTCTTTAACCTTTCAGTTTCTGCCTTCCTTCTGTCTTCCTCTTCTCGCTTCCGGCCCAAAGTTTCTTCCGCCCTTCTAGTCTCTACGTCCCAATCGGTCAGAGGCGATGGAACATGTGACTTCTCCCAGTCCCAGGTGGCTGGAGGTGAGGCTGCTGCGAGGCGCGATCTCGCGAGGCGAAATGCGTCCCGTGTCGGTCGATCGCCTGCCAAATCAAAAGGAGGTTTACCTTCCGAATTTAGGGCCTCCGGGTTCGCGTGTGCTTTTACCAATAGTCCAGTGGCCATCACCGGATTGTTAAGACTGGCTGCAAAATGTAGTGGTGTTGGCGTGTGGAAGTTCTGTGGTGCGTCTGGCGGAAAGAATCTGAAATCAGCATCCAAAGAATTGCTTTTTAGATATGAAAGAAGGGCTGGGAGCCGGGAGCGTCGTATCAGGGCCTGAATCTGTGTAGTGTGTAGCATAAACGTTTCTTCCTCGTCGGAAAACTTCGGTTTTGTGGTTGTAGTTGGAACCTTCGTCGAGTTTTGAGTCGTGTTAGCTTTTGGTACTGCATCTGAAGCTGCGGTGGCGAGGGACTGCTCGTCAAATTCTCGAATTTTGACGCGTGTCAGTTCTATAAACGAACGCATAAGCTCTTTCTGGGTTGCACGGCGAGTATTGAAAGGGATGCTGCGAATCCGAGGATCATTGGCTTGGAGTATTTGGCCTTCATACGGCCCAAAGAAAGTCCGACGGTTCCTATTTCCCGTTGCTCGGACAAATAATAATTCAGAGGTATCAATCAGACTCTTCCACTCAGCAAGAAGAAGTCGAACTTCATCATTCAAAGCAGCTTCGTTGTACCTCCTTATTCCCGCACCTGCAGAATGAGCCGCACCTTTCGCAGAGTCATTTGCCGATTGCGAGCCACCCTGTTTGCGTCGAGTCGTGTAGCGGTGGAATGTTTTATGAGTGATGACGGTTGCTTCTTTAGCTAATGGCCCAGTTGCTGAAGAACTGCTTTGTTTTGGTACCATTGACACGACCATCGCAGCAAAGTGCCCACCTCCTATCATGCACATGAACATATGTGGCCCTATGTTCTGGTTTGGCAGTTTTGATATCTCGCTATTATCGTTGGTATGCTTGATAGGCATTCTAGGCAAGAGTTGCTTCTTCCTAATGGTATCCACAAAATTGCCATTGTTGTTTTGTTCTTCGGCGGTAAAAATAGCTTTGTATATCCCCAAATATGAGTTTGGCGGCACGGTGGGGCTTGTGAACCAAACAAGTGGTTGCTTGCTGGAGCTCTCCTTCTGAGAGCTCAGATAGGTGCCACCCTCGCCTTCTTGTGCAGATATAGCTGCTCTCTTCTTAAGCAAAGCAGATAGAGTAGTTTCGTTGCGGCCTGCCGGACCCTCATCGTCATCAGATTCGGATTCATCAGAGCCAGATAAGCTTTCGTCCAAGTCTGTACAGCATTAGCCTGGTTCAGGTTATACCACAAAGGTATGGTATATAACCTTTTACGAGGGTCTCAAATTCTGTCTCAGAGACAGGTTTTAGTCCTCGTAGTTTTAGCTTTAGATTGTAACTGTGAAGGTCCGACCGGATATGGCTCCGCTGCTGCTCCACCGTAGAAAACGATTGGTCACATAGAGAGCATGCTGTGGTGGAAGCGGCACCGACGCTTTTGGTGCCATCGTGCTCCGCCTTCGCCTCGACATCTTGCGCTTCTGGGATATCGGGTACGACACCGTCCTTTTGTTGCAAAGTTGTTAAGATATCCGATGGCAAGTTATACACTACGCGCGAACCCGAATGTTAGCACTTGTCAAGTTTTACAAACGAAATAGCAGTACCGTATAGAGGCCTTCTGACCATTTGCTCCCTTCTCTGTTCCCTTTTCTGCTCCATGGCCGCTATGTGAACTTTACTTTTGCGGGCAAATAGTTGTTGATTCGGTGTGATGCGAGTCTACCTCGAGCAAACGTAACAAACATCGGCGGAATTGTGAAAATGTTCCAAGATCCACTTTAATAACGCCCCAAGCACCCATGGAATAACGGTTAGCGTGATATACATGTGATACCTTGGGAGATTAGAACAGGAATAGAATAATGACGTAATTGCTTGGTTTTACCACGCGCGACGACACGCGCACAGAATATATAACGGTGAGATGCTCAGAGCTCGCTGTTGGTGAAGCTCTGGACTTGCCGTTCAACATGTCTTCCTGCTTCCCATTTCGAAGGAAGAGGGATTCGGAGACGACGCCACTGCTCCCCCAGTATAATGACAGTACTATTCTTCAGCGGAGAATCTATCAGAAACTTCATTCTTATCAGATGGTTCGAGCACTAGGAATGGGATATATGCCGTCTACCGACCAACTGGTAGTTAATATCCAAACCCTCATTGCCTCCGATGCCCTCAATCCGGATGCACCCGGACTAAATAGAAGCAGCTGGCTGCTGCTGAAGTATTTGAAGCAATGGCTGTATGATTTTATTGAGATGTTACGCAACAAGAGTGATCAGGACCAGATCCAAGATTTTATTTGGGCGGCATCTCGTGCAAAGATTTCCCTTGATTCGGACGATGTTATCCGGGCCGCTACAAGCACAAATGTCCGTCTAGATGCCTCTAATGGTCAGTATGCAATGATTGGATGATAAACGCGTATTCTAACTTTATCTAGCATACGAGAGTATCAAGACCATAGGAAGTTTACTTCTAACAAACTCGGATTTCAGGATGTTTCTTCAAGACTTAAATGTGCTTGGGCGTCAAGTACTTGCAGACACAGCGAATGAGCTCTCTGAGGCTGCGGAAATCGCAGCGGCGCAGATTGAGCCACCAGACTCGCAATCACAGGCGTTGAAAGAACCGGGAAACGAAGAATGGCCAGTTCCGACGATGGGTGACCTTCTTGGCGAGACTACTGAGATCACTGATTCAGTTGTCGACGGCGTTAAGTCCACCGGACAAGCAACTGAAAATAGCTTGAAAGATAAACTCAGCGGGGAAGAAAAAGATAGCTTGCTATTTCGGCTGAAATCCGCGGTAACAAAGCTTAGGAAAAGAAATGATTACTCGAAATCAGTCTCTATGATAGGGCTTCTAATTAAACGCCATGCAAAAATATACTCCCGTGCTGCGGATGAAACCATTGGTACATTACAGGACGATGTTGAGACCAATGAGGAGCTCGATCGAGCCGTAAGGCTTGGCTGGCAGCTCTTGAGATCGTTTGGCAAAAAGGAAGCCTGGGATGAGCTTGAGAGGCGGTTTAAGAAAGTGGTTGGACATGCACAGACGGATTCAGAATTCGAGAGTCTTATGGGCGACATAGCATCATCCATCCAAGATATATTAATGAACCCAGGCTTCTTTGAGTCATCTACTTCCAGGAATGGAGATGCAAAATGGAATCACACAGGAAGTACAATACTTTCCCCTCTACGACGAGATATAGATCGGTTATTGGAGCAGGCCAGACTTACTTGCGAGACGGTCGCCGATGACGATGATATCTCTAAAATTATCAGGAATAGTCTCCGTGTATCCGCTATTCTTTCGCCCGTACAGGGTGGAACTAACGATGAACTTCTCGTGGACACATACAGCGTCTTTGTACCCCTTCTGATCCAGGCGATTCAATATATTCCGATACCACGACTTGAAGTGTCAGCACCGGCGATCGACCTCCTCTTTGAAAATTTGATTCTGGAGCCTGGGCGAACCATCAACCATACTTCATTTTTGCCATTCAAACTGAATATAAATACGAATAACGACCTTACTATTCGCAAAGCTCGGTATCGCACAATCTCCAGTCTAACAACCCTTGTGACAGTAAACCTACAAGGGTTGTCAATACGGGCAGATGAAGTAGGGTTCTGGCTGCGTGCCCATAAAGGTTTACTCAGGCTCGCCGACGAAGGCATTGCCTCTTTGGAGCTTGACGACCGCGGCATCGATATTGCAATAGACTTCGAAATTGGGAAAGGCCACATTGAGAAAATTCTCTCTCTGCGAAACGTCAAAGTCAAGATCCACCATCTCAACTACTCCTTACGCAGGTCCAAGTTTGCATGTCTGGCGTGGATTTTTAAGCCGATTGTTCGCCGTATCATTCGGAAAGTTCTCGAGCGCAAGTTAAGTAGTGCAATTGAGGATGGAATACACGCAGCAAATCGAGAACTCTTGTATGCACGTGAACGTCTCAGAGCAACTAGGATTTCGGACCCTAAAGACCTCCATACCTTTGTTCGGGCCATAATTACTCGACTCGTTCCAGAGGAAGACCCAGATTTGTACACCAATATCGGAGTTGTCGGAGGGGCCAATGAGCTGGGTAATGTCTTCGCTGGTGTCTATGCACCGGGCAGTATTGTAAAACTGTGGAAGGAAGAAGCACGGGAAGCGGCCCAGAGAGTTGAAGACAACGAAGTAAAGGGCTGGAGAAATGAGATATTCGATGTGCAAGCTGGACCTATAGCATAGTAGCCGCAGCTGAGTTTCTTGGCTCCTGGCTTGAAGTAGTGGTGTGACGGAGATTTCCGCATTGGGAGCTGGGTCGGGTATTTACGTGCAGCTATATGAGCATCGATTTTTGTATATCATAGAATATAATGAAGGATTGGCATGTGTGATATTCAGAACTTCATATCACGAATGGGTGGTTTTGCATGCCTCATAGCATCTCTAGATAGCCGGAGTTCTTATAACTCGACGTAATTTGCAGGAAACCTACCTCTGACGCCTCGTAATGCACCGTCCCACCAGTCATCGGTACTGTCGGTTTTCTTGATGACCTTGATCCGATCACCCTCTTCGAAGGCCAGATCATCGCTCTCTTGGCCAGTGAAAGTATACAGTGCTGTAACCCACTGTTCGTTGGACGATTGGATACGCTTTGGCGGAGGCGGTGGAGCCTTTTTCTTTGCTGCTATTGCGGAAGACATATTCCTAGCCGATTGGGAGTCCTGACCTTGAAAATAATATCGAACGGGACCGGCCGGAGAATATGGTGGGGTTGAAGCGTGAGAAAGTGGGTTATTTCTCTCCGCCTCAGGTTCGTCGTATTCTCGTTGAGGCTCCGGTGCTTGCGGGCTGCCAGAATTGTGACCCGAGGGTGAAAGGCGCGATGCCCCAGCAGAAAGGTTACCACCAAGGCGGCTCATCGACGGGAGACTGCTTTGCGTATTTGATCTGCGCGCTGCGAGGTTGTTTCTTAAGTTGAGGCCGGACATGGACGAGCCTCGGCGAGTTTCTGAGTCATCGCCAAGCACCATGGGAGCATGTATCGCCTTTCCTCGAGCAATGGTGTTTATAGATTCCACATCTTGTTGGATTCTTTTGAAATCGCTATCCCATTCTCCCACTATGTCCTGCGTAGGCGGTGCAGGAGAGGGAAACCCCTCCTCCGTGCAATAGTTGTGGAGCGTTGTGTAGTATTGAGCTAGAAGTGTGTTTTGTATCAAAACCTGAGCAGCCAAGATGTGCGGGAGAATAGAAAATGCTGCTGCGATTATAGGTGGCAGGCTCTCACGTAGACGATCGTCTGCGTAACGAAAATCCTATAGAAGTTAAAGAGATTAGTACGGGATAGGTAGTTGTGGAAGTACACACGTCAGCTGCTTTCCCCATGTCTGCTTCCAACTTTAATAAACCCGCTTCTTCTTTTTCAGAGCGCTTTTGCCTCCTCTTTTTGTCGACACGGTCCTGGTAGCTCTCATAGTCTATTCGTTTGCTCTCGCGATTTTTTATTGTTTTTTTTATCGGCTTAATGCATTCTAAAACCTCTGTGGCAGGTCGGATGATCCTTGGATCTACCAAGTTCAATTCTTCCAGCAGGTCTGCTTTAAGTTCGGCGTATGCCTCCTTCAGATTCTTCGTTTTGGTCAACATGGTCTGGGGGGTCATGATGGCATAATGTCCGTGCCCTTCCGACGTGGCTCCAACTATCGGGTTGTAGATCTCCTCGAAAACGGTTACTGCATTCAGTTGTAAAGCCAGTATTGATAACCACGCATCTCTCCAGGCCCTGGAGGTGTGAACGATCTGTACGAGTTAGCTTTGAACCAAGGTCTCCGGCGGGTTAAGTTGGCCAGGGAACTCACGCTCGTCAATACTTCATCTACATTGGTGAAGTCCTGCAAAAGGACCGAGACTTTGGCATCATCTCCTGACCCTCTAGGTTTTATCTTCCCCAGTTGTCGGTGCATGGACTGCATGTTGGACGTCGTCTCCCGATACTTATGTTCCGTCTGGGGTGGTTGCGAACGATGGTTAGTCAATTGACAACTAGGCCCAATCACTTGGGGATATTGATATAGGTGCCAATAATCGAATTGTAGATGCGGAACAGGGATGGAAGCACTCTGTGTCTGTGTGAAGATGTTGCGAATTTGGCGGTGTTTTGGACTCCCGGGTTGTACGGTGGTTGTTGCCACAGATCTCGACGGACAGTTGCACAATACAGCACAAGGAGCGCACAGCAAACACTGTTGGGTATATTGCGACAACAGCTGTGAAAATATTGGGAAGAAACAATATATACTTTAGGATTCCAATCCAAAAATATCGAGTTATTGACCCACGTCGTTGTTGTTTATGGCGTGGACGAGGTCAAGCTCATGAAAAGGGCCGACAATCTTCCGTAAGTTCAGGCACGCATAAACGTAGACCGTGACCATGACCACGGCCTGAATAAGAAGGTGCCAAGCCGCCGGTTTTTAAACCCTGCCGCCGCCCCGTGCCCCCTGTTCTAGATCAACCAGAACAGAGTAAAAACCTGTTTAGAGCAGAGCAGGACACAAAACTGTTCTGTCCTGCTCTGAACAGGTTCAATTCGCTGTATATAACTAGTTAGTACATAGCTTAGTAATAGAGTAAATCCAACGTCGTTGAAGTAACGTAGGTCGTGGCCATACCGGGGCCATGGCCATACCGGGATGGTGGGGTAAGCCACCCCTTCAAAATATGAGCAGCTTCAAAATAATTGAAAATAGTTCTACCATTACCATGCTAATTCATCTATATCACTGTCAAATAGCTCCTCCTCACTCCCATCATCAATTAGATCAATTATAGATGTTGTAACTTGTGGAGTTGTTGATATTTTCGACTTTTGTGATGTAGTTGTTGTTGCTGCTTCTGCTTCTGCTACTTGCGACTGCAACTCCTCAGTTGTGATGTGGAATTGACCCTTCAAAACTGCTCTCTTGCCCTTATTTTGTACTCTGCGCTTCTGAATAATTGAGCGCAAGTTATCTGTCTCCCTTTGTTGTAGTATGTGGCATGTATTGAGCCGCTCTGTCTCATCTGCTAACTTATGAATATATCGCTTTGTAGGAGTGTTGAGAATGCCACGACTTATTGTAGAAGAGAGTACTGTATTTGCTTTGTGAAGTGTTGAAAAATCAGGTGGACTGCTGTTCAGAAATACTTTCTCAAAAATGTCATGCTCTGTTGGAGTCTTTGGCCGCACTATTACTGCATCTGTTGTAGGAAGCGTAGCTGCGCGGATAACTGTCTGCGGTTGAAATGGCTGTAGCCCACTCCCTCTCCAAGCAGAAGCTATATTTGAATTTGAAAATGCAGCTGCTCTTGCTTGTATGTATGCATCCATCCATTCTGCTTTCTGTATGCGTAGGAGCTGCGCCTCATTAAAGGGACAGAATGTACTACAGAGCTGGATTCCAAAGGATGTTATAAGCAAATGGCACTTCTCTGCAAATACAAAAGGATGGACAAGCAATCTTCATGGATATGAGTGGCTAAAACGCGTTTTTGAGCCTTCTACAAGAGCAAAAGCAACACTTCCAAATGGACAACTACAACAAAGGCTCCTTATTTGTGATGGCCATGACAGCCATATAAGTGGGAGCTTCATATCACACTGCATACAGAATCGCATATCGCTCCTTATACTACCTCCACATACCTCACATATACTCCAACCACTTGATGTTGCAATTTTTGGACCTTTGAAAAGACACCTCACAATAGGGGGTCGGTGGTTGTTCCATCCATGCAGATGCACTCAACAGCAGAGACCCATTCCTGCCTTCCTGGATGTGCCTGAAAACGCGTCCTAAGTGTAGAATCAACTATAATTCGTGTAGATTGCATTGTTCCAATTGAAAATCCAGTCTCATCCATGTTGTAGGTGTTGTAGTTTTCGATTTTTTGCTCTGTTGTGAGGCTCTTGTACGCGTCAAACCACCCCTTCAACACCTGCTTTGTGACCCCATTCATCCTTTGTGCCTCAACCCTTCTTCCTAGCTTAACACGTAAGTTAGGATGCCTCTGAATGAACCGTGGCACCCAATCTTGCCCAAGTGGTAACTTAGGTAGTTGGAGTTGTGGTTGTTGAGTTTGTGTCTGTTGAGTTGGTCGGGTCTGCTGAGTTGGTCGGGACTGCTGAGTCGGTCAGGACTGCTGAGTTGGTCGGGACTGCTGCTGAGCCGGTTGGTTTGATGGGGTTTGCCAAGCCACTAGTTAGAAATAGCCGAGTCTGCCAGTCTATGGCAGGTTTGATGGGTTGGTAGTTGACTTGACTGAGCTGGTTAACTCTGTAGGTTGGCTCACCTGGGTTTGGAAGACCCGACACTTGTTTGACCGCACTTCCTCTGCAACCTCACATAATATGCGATTGCTAGGAGCGTAACCACTTGCAGTAAGATTTTTGATCCATTTTAAAAGGGTCTTTTCTTGGGTTTGGGAGAGTAATTGATGTTTTAAATGTGCTTCTTTATGTGAGGTATGTCGCCCTTTAATGCGGCTAACAACTGTATCAGGCCTTAGATGTAAGGCCTTTGCAGCAGCATTTGCAGTTTTATATAAACCAGATTTTACTCCAGCTACTGCTTCAAGTATTAGAATATCGCGTTCTTGAGCTTTTAAACTCCGTTTGCGTACCATAATAATGGGGTAATTGATAGGTTTGGTGTGTTGGTTGATGGGTTTGATGGGGTAGTTAAGTGCTCGCTTACCTCACCATCCCGGTATGGCCATGGCCCCGGTATGGCCACGACCTACGTTACAACAACCATACAACATGATAAAACGTTTGTACAAACCGTATGAGGATAGTCTAAAGCATACTAGCAGGTTACATCAACTTACCTCGCTATACTATTTCATTACAAAAGCCTTGATTTTTTCAGTCTTTACAACAAGAAAACAACATTAAAAAACACCAAAAACAAAGAGAGGAAGTCCCTAGGTGGGAAGAAGCCCTCCTATATATACATCTTCCTTGGAGTGTGTGATCTAGAATCACCAATCTGATCTGCCAAACCGTTTGGACGATTGGCCGAGTCAAAACACGTGATTAGCCGATCATGTGTATCATCTAGAATCTGTGTGATCTACTGATCTAAACAACTGATTGGCTGACCGCTAGAGTGATCTAGGATCAGCTCTATGCGTACATCACAACAAACAAACACCAAGAAGCTGAGGGGGTGTGTTGGAGTGGCAATGCACGTGACATACAAGCCATGTGTAAATAAACAAACAAGTGCACACACAACCATGCACGTGATAACATAGAACACATGTAGGTGCGCACAACAACTACACAACCACGTGATAACTCAGAACACAGTGTAATGGTGGGTGCACCAGATGTGAGAATCTAGCCACCCAAGGAAGGGATGATTTTACTAAGACAACACACTGTCTTAGGAAACAGAGCCAAAGGGTTGTAGCTTAGACTATTCCACAACGCAGCAATCAGGTGTGTGATGTAGTGAAGTGGTTCAGACAAGTTGCAACAAATGTTGAGTCTGGGAACTCAGGGGTAAGTCAGGGGTTAACACCTCACTGACTTTTCAGAAACAAGGAGTAACAAGATGAATGCTTGGAAGCTTGTAAAAGACGTGGAAGTATGTGATAGTCGAATACAGAAAATCGACATTTTCTGTATTGTCTGCTTGCCCTTTCTTAAGGAAAGGGCAATCCTATTTATGCCAAAGGAGTGTAGTTCTCTCATTTTCCATAACTTTCCATGACTAACCAGGCTTGGTAAATGTATTAGAAATCAAGTGCGACCCACAACTAGCTTGCTAATCATGTAGCGAATGTAAGAGAATCCCATAGAACCATCTCTTGGGTTCCTAGCCTATAGGAAGTGACAAGGAGGTCCAAGGTCAGTGGCGTAACGGGACAGATGGCGTAATGGGACGCTTTGCCAGAGCCACCCGCACCCCACCAAAACCAAGGTCACATGACCAAAATTAAAACGTTAATAACTTTTGTAATAATGCTTATAACGCTTAATCCTCTTAGACTATTACTCTTTATATCATACTCTAAATGTCCTCTGGGATCCAAACTCGATTTTGGTAGAGTAAGAGTCCATTTCTCTCTTCGCAATGTGCTAAGGCTATACTTGGGCTATCTCGCTCGTTGTTCTGTAGTCTTCGGATTGTATCCTTGCATAATTCATCCTGGAGCTGCGCAGCTTGAATCTGGTCATGGATGCTTTGATCTTGTGGTAGGATTGGTGCAAGTTGAGCATCTTGTGCCTGCCCTTGACTTTTGAGTTCTAGCTGCTGTGCGAGATCTGGATGGAGTCTCTCAAGAGGTAATAGGGTTTGAAGCTGTTGTTTTTGACGGTGATCTTCTTCATTCCCTTCTGGTCTATCTCCTGGTCTTGGAGTTAACACATCTGCTTTTCCATTCTGCTTGCCAGGTCGATATATGATTTGGAAATTGTATCGAGAGAGGAATTCTGCCCATTGAGCTTGCCGCCTAGTAAGCTTTTTTGTGCTCATAAAATATTCAAGACTCTTGTGGTCTGACAAAACATGTACTGGCATTGCTGTGCCCTCAACTTCTGGTCTCCATGCTTCGAAGCATCTAATAATGGCAAGTAGCTCCTTGTCATAGATCTTGTAATTGCACTCAGCAGGTGTCATTTTCTTTGAGAAGAAGGCAATGGGGACGCTAGTAGTACTAGTTTTGTTTTACAAAAGATATTAAAGCTTATATTTTACTATATAAAATATTTATATGGTAAAAATTAAACTATAAATAACTACTTAATAAGAAGAGCTTACACTCTAGCAAATTCGGCTATAAGAAATAAGACTATAAAGAGTAATAGTCTAAGAGGATTAAGTGTTATAAGCATTATTACAAAAGTTATTAACATTTTAATTTTGGTCATGTGACCTTGGTTTTGGTGGGGTGCGGGTGGCTCTGGCAAAGCGTCCCGTTACGC